TTTTGATTTTCTTTTGTTTTGCTTTTGTTTTCATTCTGTTTTCATCTTGTAACACCCCTCTTCGATGAGGGACAAAAGATTGTTTTGATGAGTCCAAACAGCTAATATATAAATAATTCTGTAATTGATTAATTAATTTATCGGCTATAACCGACTATAACCGGTTATTTAGCCGTGTGACTTACTGCGGCATAGTCGACTATGAGCGACTAGCCGATAATAACACATCCGTAATTCGCATGCAACCAAATTTTTATTAGACATATATAGTCCACACTACTTAAAATTTTATTTACACAAAATCATTTATGTAAAAATGGGCAATAAGTAGCACCGATAGATTTTCACTGATCGACATACCGTATTTACTCGAAATAACGCACATGAGCGTTATTTCAAAAATTGCATTTTCTTAAAATAGCAAAGTTGGTTTTAAAATAACGCCCATGTGCGTCTCGAAATAACGCGCACCCTATATACTAATGTTTGTAATTAAGCATTTGGAGGTCAGTATTTACCTATAATTAGACCTTTACCTCGAAATAACGCCCATGCGCGTCCTTGAGATAACGCGCATCTCCTTGAAATAACGCGCAGGTGCGCGTTATTTCGAGTAAATACGGTAAATTGACCAATTATATTTTAAGATCAGGTGTAACGTGAAAATCATGCGTTTTTTTAAAAAGCTTTAAAAAATAGCAAATAACTCAAAATTTTATATATGAAACTACTTACTATCATAAACTAACCATAATATAATGGCTTGTTATTTTAAAAATTGTTGTTTTGATCAAATCTGATTGGCGTCGATCAGTGAAAATCTGTCGGTGCTACTGGGGGTAGTTGTTTAAATACGTGATACCCCAAATAGTACCATAGAATGTTTTTATGAGTCCGATATGAGATTAAGGATGGCAACCGTTTTAAAACTGATTTTTAATTGTTTAATATATCATGGCGTAATCATCATGATTATGAAATTATACCGATACAATTCAATTCTATAGAATACTAGTGCTAATATTAAAATAAAAATTATTGTGAATAACTATTGGAAGACCCCTTTGAAAAAATTGTTTAACCTTTACAAAAGTTACAGAATTTGACAGCGTGGTCGAATGACACCTCGACAAAAGTACATTCATTGCGAAGAAGACTTTGTTGATTTAATAAGTTAGTTAAAGAAGCATTTAATAAAAAGTGTAAGGCCATACAAAGTTAATTTTTCGTTTTGCATAACCTCGGGTTCCAAAACTCCAGTCAGCGGTCGGATTTATTTTTAATCTACTGTAAATTAATAGACTCATGTTAATTCTTCGTTTTGCATAATAGGGAATCAGAAAATTTGGAAGTTTTTTTTTTAGGGTAATTCCAGATAATTAAGGTGACCCGGATAAATTTATGAAACAATTGGGAACTTATATATATATATTAAAAAAAATTGGGTTTGCAAGTTATACAAAACGAAAAATTAACTTTACTAGCCTAAAAAGCTTTCAAAAAATGTAAGATATTTATTAAAATTTAAACACTGGTTCTATGATAGGCAAATTATTCATTTAAAAATATAGATTATAATTCAACATCGGTAATAGAAGCAATAATTAAATTAAATAGATTAAAATACATTTCTTATAATTCTTGTAAATTTTTTCTTACTTGTTATACTATTACGCAATATTCTATTTCTCATTTTATATTCGTTGGTTAGTATAATATTAAAAAAAAACGAAAAAAAGAAAATATTATAAGTAATGTAATAAAATCAACATTTAACAAAAAATAAATTTAGTACCCATAGTTCATTGACCAAAATACCCATGTTATGTAATTTTTTTACTAGTGAAATTCAGATTGCGTTTATTACAGTACTCAAAAATCATTCACATCAACATGCACCTTGTATTTTAGTCTGTATATTAAAGTAAATTGATTTATAACTTCTATAAATAAACTTGTTTATAGTTGTACCAATAAAAATCCAATGATCCAATTCTAAAACTTTACTGCAGCTAAGTCACACGTTTAAAAAAGCTTTTAATAAATTTATAAACGTTGTGTTTTATTTATAAATGCACGCTTAACTCTAATTATATAAATACTAGGTAAATGGAAACCATTTAAGGTCCGAAGGACTTATCACGGATCAGTCCGACAATGGGTATTTTCGGAGAAATGTTTGTTTTTATTAGATCAACCAATCAAACACCTTAATTTGCGGACACACACACATCCAGGTCACTATGACTCTCCCGTAATGTCCTTCGGACAATAAATAGATATTTATTAAAATTTAATTGGTTGATTTAAGTGTTAAGGTAGGATATTAATATCACTTGATATCAATTAGAAAAAGCCATTAAAAAAATTACATGAATAAAATAAAATTAGTTGTGCCATGTATTACATTTATGAACTGATAAATAACTACTAGAATCGACATTAAGTTTTGACTTGTCTAAAAAGAATATGAATCAAGTTTGAAAGAGAAAAGTGTTCTTGGTACTGGCTTTATCTATTACCTTATAATGACATGTTACTAGGGTATTATTTTTGTGAACATTTATTTGGTATTGAGTCTTACGGTCACCAAATGTACCAGGCTAAAAAAGAATTTGTAATTTAAAATGATAAACAGTTTATTTTAGAGTTATAAAGGGTGAATGATTTACCTTCTCTCCAGGTGCTTCAACACTCACGGTATCAGAATCGCAAAAAAACTTTAATATAACCGGATCTATGTTTTGGTTTGTTTTTTATTTTAGAAATAAAAATCATTAAAAAATTACATTATTTAAGTAAAATAAAATATTATATAGGAAAAGGACGTTACCAGTTTCTGTTTCATTTTTTCCTTCCCATGTAATATCTGCGATCAATTTATCAGGCCCAGCTCTTTTAAGTTTGAGCGGAAGAGAATAAATTTGTCTGGTGGGAACTATTTCCTCTTGAGAAAATGTAGTAACAAAGAAAAAGGCTAAATATATAAAAGTCAAGGTAAATAGGCGATTCATATTATTGAGCTTGATGAATTTTACAAATTTTATTTTTCTAAGTTTTGAGTTTTATAATTTTTTTTTTTTTTTGAGAGGATTAAGCTTTATGCTTTATAAAGCTTTTGAGAATGATTTTATAAAAGCTTATTAATGCAAAAATAGATTGTATCTGCGATACTTATGTTACATCAATCATATCGAAAATTATTGAGACAATTACAAATATCATTTTTCACATGGAGGTTTTAATGTCAGATATTATATCAGAATACTAATTGGTTTCTGTATTACAGTATTATTGGAATATTTGGGCGCTTTTCAATAGAAAGGGTAGATCTACTTTTTGGTTAAAAAAATTTTTTTGGCCTATTAAATAAAGCATAACCAGATATATGATTCTAATTAAATGTTAAATTGTGCTAGCTTAATAATTTTTTAAGTTTTACATGTACCGGTGTGACATGATTTTTACATAGTGAAAAATTAAAAGTCACGTGTATTGTACAATTGTTCACATCACATGGCATATATAAATAATATTTTAAAAAATTATCTACATTATTTGTCACCGGTAGTTGTTTTGATCTACAAAAACGTGATTTTCTCAAAATTTTTGATCAAATATAAATGGAGATCTACCCTTTTCTATTGAAAAGCGCCCATTTATGAGGCTACAGTGTTTTCATATGCAGTTTCTCCAAGAACTATTTCTTTATTCTTGGTGTGGGAAATAATTTCCATATACACTCAATACTGCAATATAAGAAATCGAAGAATTTGGAAGTTCTGATTAGAAAAATTAAAGATCTACTTATTGTTGATCTGCATCTTTCCACAACTTTTATTTTCCGAAACAGAGAATAAGAGGTAAATCCCTGGTCGCATATAGCCGGGAATATTTTCCTACATGTGAAGAAAGGTTTATTCTTCGTTTTGTATATTTCATGATCTCTTATTATTTCGATCTTTTTATTTATCAATAATGGTTGCTTTTTCATTTTATTACCTTCAATTAACTATTCCATATTATCGTGATGCCTTATTATATCATTTAATACCAATACTGCGATGTAGATTAGTAGATAATTACCGTATTCCTCCGAAAATAAGCACTAGTGATGAGGGCCGATGTCAAACGCTTGGGCCGACTACATTATTAAATTATTTAAGCTATCCCAAACTATCTTATATATCTTATAATTTAATCTCCTATCGATAACTTAATATGAAAATTGCCATATGCCCGAAACTCCCCGGCGAGCATGCTTGTGTTTTGTGTTGGTTGATTATCCACATCCCGAAATGTTCCGATATTACTCTAACTTTTCTTTAACTATGACTTAATGTTGCCTGAATCCTGAATCTACGATTAATTCCAATCTAATTCGACAACTTACCAAAAGTTTAATAAATTACATCAATTTACTTGTTAGCTCATTGATGATAATATACTATTTACGACTCTAGTCTTATTTTAATCGGCTCCGGCCCGTGAAAGTGTGGGCCGACCCTCGGCCCGCCCGGCCGATGGGCCGGGGTCAGCCCTCATCACTAATAAGCACCCTGGCCTGCATTATAAGAAATTTGGCCTGAGTTATAACTATCTTGGCCAACATTAAGTGCAAAAAAGGGGTGCTTATTTTCGGGATTACGGCACGATTCCCCGAAAACTATTTCCCAGACTCGACATCACACAGTGTGACAAATTGCTAAAAATAAATACTTGCAACTAATAGAATGCTAACCATAACCCTATGTGATGTCGGGTAAGTGACCTGTCGAGGAATGTCTTTCGGGGAATTGAGCGACAACCTCACGAGTGATAATTTATTTAGTATAAAAGTGCATTCATTCAAAATCCATTATTGCGGTTTGCAAAAATTTGTGAAATTTGCAGATCAAAAAAATAAAAAAAAAAGTAATTCTGATTCTGATTGCCGCTTTCATTGCCATTTTTTTTGCAGAAATAAAATTGTAGATTCATAATTTTGTATCAGGTTTTGATTTAGCATTTTTTGTAGGAATATAATTTGCATGTTTATCATGTGTAAAGAACTTGATTGTGTAATATTAAATTTTGTTTCTTTCCTAGCCCGATAAAAGTTACTATTGCATTATAAGCAAGAAGAAAATTTTTTCTATCTATATACTATATACAATACACGGGTTTCAAATCGCAATTAATTGGCTAGATATTTTGATTGGTTGGATTTCTGTGCACGATTTTCTTCATGTGAATCCACATTACTTTATTTTTTTGCTACGCGTACTGTACGTACGTAAGTATATTTATACATGAGAATACGAAGTGAAATAAGATTATAGATAATAAATAAATAAAATAAAAAAAAAACAGCTGACTACGCGCCCGCAATGCAATATCAAATAGTAAAGACATGTTTTTAAGACATAAAAATCGATGATCCAATGTAAATTTGCACATCTATTCTCTGATTTTTTAGCAAATTTCATTTTCTTTTTAGGATTTTTTATTGGGTTGATGAAATGATAATCAAGTTCATGATCGTCAAAGATGAGAGCGAAAGAACTTGCTAATCATTCGAGTCGACATTAAGTCAGCAAACCGAAAGGATGCCAAGCAGAAGCAATATGCCTTCGTAAAACCAGCAGCAGAAATAGTGCCAAATTATACGACCATGTCAGGGCTATAGATGCTGGTGAAATTAATTTCACCAATTTCACCAATTGTGGTGAAATTATTTCACCACATTTCACCATGTTTATGTGAGTATAAAGGATATACTGCATATCGATATTAAACTTAGTATTTAATCAAGATCCATTCATGAATATTTATATAGCATTTAATTCATTTTGTTCGCAGTAATTTAGTGAAAACATTTATAAATCTAAGTTTTCAAAATAGGTTATTCAAGTTTGTGAATTAGTTTATTCGCGATAATTTAATGCATGAGTATAAAAAACAATTTATTAGCCTAAATATACAAAATAAATGATTCAAATTTTATTTAATATTTATAATTTGTTTTAGAGCGTGAATATAGTGAATATTAAGCTATCAAAGTTCATAATATTTACTATTTATACGCATGAATTTAGTGCATAGTACGATAATTTGAGCATTTAAAAAGTTCCATTTAAGTTCATTTTATTCGCATTGATTTTAGTGCATGAGAATAAAGAACATTTATTAATCTAAGTATTCAGATT